ACTACAGCAGCCGTGTCAGGAAGCAGCAGTTCTGACACCATGGATTTCATCTTTAGTTGTTGAGGAATGTGGGGGGGAGGGGGGGCACTGGCTGCCTATCCTGGTTCATAGGGCAGTTTTCATTCAGGGGTAGGCCCACTTGCATTGTTGTCTTTGTGCTTGAAATTCTCTGGTCCATGAATATATCCCTCATTCTTAGCCTTGTGCTTTGAGTGTTTTGTATTTGGCGAATGACATTCAGGAACTTCTAATGCTTCCTCTATTGGGTAGAATGTAGTATCGTCATTGTTTAGTAACACCATGACCTATTTTCTCTCACTCTGTGTCTTTCAATATGCTCTCCCTTCCCTGAAATGTCCTTCACTCATGTCCTGATTAGCATTAAGAGACCTTCAAGATTGAACTCAAGCGTTGCTTTGGCCGAGACACCTTCTCCAGCTTGGCCTTTTCTTGTCTCTGTTGGGTATGTCTCCCCGGGGTCCCCACGCTGTGTGTCTTAGCCCAGCACACAGCATCACGTGGTGGGAAGTGGCTGATGGAGCTCGACCACTACATTCAAGCTCCATCAGGACGAGAACTCTCTTCCATCCGTGTATTCCCAGCAGCTGACAGAGTATCTGGTAAAAGCAGAAATAGGGGAATGAGTGAGTAGTCCTAGAGTCACAGTGGGTCAAACCTTTGAAACCATTTTCTGTTCTAGAGAAAGAATCCCTTTATTGTAACCGGAAACTGAAATAGACTGTCTGCTCCTTTGTAATAATCTTCCTACTCCACTCAACAAATCTCCCAGCAGTCTTTGGAGTCATGAGATTCCCAGGAACTAGAACAACATTATGAGAATGTCTCCAAACCATTTTTTGTCTTCCTTGACATTTACATCCTGTATCTGATCAGAAATTTGTAGCTCGAGTGAACCGTTCATGATAATGAGCCATTCTTATTGCAGTACTGATTGGACATTTCTCTCCAAGAAGGTCACGGTGCTTTACATACATTAGCTAAATTGTCTCAGTGCATACCTGAAGTAGGGTGACCACCCATTCGGAATTCACCAGGCTCTGACAATCAAGATCTCTGTGAAGTTGACTTTCACCCCTTCTGGATCCAGGGAAGACCAAAACTAAGTTCATGTCTTTGGTGGCTGCATTGTTACAGTCATTTGTCGCTTAACAATGGGGATACATTCTGAGAAATGAGTTGTTAGGCGATTTCGTCATTGTGCTAATATCATAGAGCACACTTACACAAACCTAGGTGGTGTGGCCACCACACATGTAGGCTCTGTAGTACAGCCTAGTGCTCCTAGGCTACAAGTCTGTCCAGCACGTTACTGCACAAAACAAACACGAGATTCTGTCAAGCACAAGAGAAAATGATTCAATCAAGAGATGCACTGGACACGAGATGTATGAGGCTGCTGCCGGCATAAAATGGCATACTGTTTTACAGCAAACTTTATTATACGTAAAAAGCATATGCTCTAAGATAATGATAAAAAGTATAGTATAGTAAATACATAAACCAGTAACATAGTCGTTTATTATCATTATCAAGTAGTAGGTACTGTACATAATGGTATGTGCTATACTTTTCTACATCTGGCAGCTGCCATAGGTGTCTTTACACCAGCATCACAACTCTGTTGCTAACCAGCTGTGTGTCCTGAGTGGTCACTTAGTCCCTGAAGACCTAAAAATGGAGAGCATTGGACTAAATGATCTCCAGGGCCCTTTACAGCTTTAGAGTAAAATGGTTCTGTCCCTATAGAATTGCAGCTCCCAGGCTTCCTCCTCCAGACCTCCATTCACGTCACAGATTGATCTGAACTCGCATCGCAGTCTATCTGATGTTAGTCACCATTTCTCTTTTTTACATGTGTGCATGTGAACCACCATGATGGAGCGCCAGCTCCCTGAGGGCCAGAACCCTAGTCACTTCATTTTTGTGCCGCATACATAGTGTAGGTACACTTATCTCCCCTGTCCTATGCCTTTAACCTGTGGATCTCATCTGAGTCTTTTCAGCACATTGATCTGTACAAGTCTTTGCTACCTAGAAAGGAAAGACTCCACCCCATCCTCCATCGGGCTCCCTGTATCTGCCGCCTTTGTAACTCCTCTTCTTGACATTGTAATCTGCATCTATCATACCCACTGTTACCTTCCCTCTTACTCCCCCACTCCCTGTAAGCCAGCTTCCTGGCTTCCACCACCCCCACAGAATTAATTCCCTAAAGAATCTTGTATTGCCAAGTCCAAAAGGACACTTGGATGTTTTCATCGTAGCGTCTAGAGGCACTTGGCTCTGACCACCACCTTGTCCCTGAAACTCTCCCCTCGTGGCTCCTGGGAGACCAGTGGCTCCTGCTCCTCTGACTGCCTTTTGCTGTGTCCCTCCCCTCCCCCCAGCCTCCATGGTTCTGTCCCTGGCTCATGGCTCTCTCCACTTTGTAGTCCCTCTGTGGACAGCTTCATCCCTGCCTGTGGTCTCCACTGCCACCCCCTAGAGCAACCACTGACCACACAGTCCCGGTGTCTCTCTAATCCAGTCTCCTCAGATGCGGCCTGTCCAGACCTGTGCTCATCACTCTCCCCAAAAACGATTTTCTCATGTTTTTTTCTGTTTGGGCGACGATCCCACAATATATCTAGCTGTCCAGGCCTGGGGTTCTCGCTTCCCCTCCTCCCCACAACCAGCCAGCTGCCTCTGAAGTTTAGACTTGCATCAGTTTCACGTGGATGTTTGCAGCAGCCTTTGCGTTGTCCTCCTAGCCTCCTGTGTCTCTCTTCTATGATCCATCCTCCATGGTAGCCAAAAAGGGCTCTTCTAGAATTCAAATTTGATCGCGTTGCCTTGGCTACGTAATTCTTCTATGCCTGACCGTGGACTTGTAGACAAATTTTCCATTTCTTAGTCCACAAGGTCCTCTGAGACCTGCGTGCCCATTACCTCGCAGCCCCTTCTGTGCCCCTTGGGCACAGACTTGCTATGAGGAGCTGTGTTGTCGCCGTTGTGTCTTTACATGGGACATTCCATCGGGTTCCAGTGCCATTCCCCCTCCTCTGCTGGCAAGCCTGGCTTGGCCTTTAGGACAGAACCCGATGCCAGCTTTGCTGAAAAGCCTTGTCTTGCCTTGCAAGGCAGAGTGCAGGGCCTGCTCCCCTGGGCTCCCGCACCACCTCATTCCCATGGCAACCACAGCGCCTACCATGTTGCTGGCGTGGCGGTGTTTCCATGTCAGTGCCCCCACCACACCGTGAGCACCCAAAGGCTCTGAACTTCTTCACTTGGCCTTCATTCCCTTCTTAGCCTAGGGTCGGGGACATGGGGTACCTCACACACACACACACACACACACACACTTGCTGAACAATTGAATAAAGGCAGGCTGGAAAGACAGCTTACTCAAAGACACAGTCCATCTTCCCCCAACCTTGTTTTTTTCTTTTGGTCAGTCTCTCTGTTACCTATAAGATAGAGGCCACATTCCTTAGCCCAAATCAGGAGCTCCCACAGTTGACTTTTGCCTGCGTGTTAGGTGTATTTTCCAGTCTTTTCAGAAAAGTCTGGTCTATTTACTAATCTCTAAACATTCCATTCTCATTCTAGACTCTCTTCTACAAATGGAATAGATTAATGAATGGAGTGGGAATATAAGCAGACCCCGCATCTCAGGGCCCATGTTCTATGCAGAAGAGCATCTCGCCTGCTAGAATAAACAGAGCAGCTCTGAATTATTTAGCCTCTCGTCCCCCGATAGCACTCCCTCTTTCCTCTTCCTCTTGAGTTTTGAAGACCCTGGCAGGCGTAATCTGCACATGGTCCTGACTGCCTGATAATAATTTCCCATCATTTAAGTGCCAGAGCCAAGTACCATTCCCCTTTCATTTAAATTAGATAAAACCCAGAGCTGTGGCTTACAAGTGATGGAAGTCCACTGGGGAAATTAAAGGTTCAGAGAGAATGGGACCCATTATAATAAAAGCATTTGCACAGCCAGTGATTCCGTCTACCCTGTGGCTCTGATGTTCCTTGGGGTAGGATGAAATAGGAAGCATGAGGACCTCGAAAAGTAGTTGGAGGAATTTAGTTTAATTGGAAATGGTGGCAGCATTCTGCGCTTGGAGTAAACTGCCAGTCGTGCACAGTGGTGTGATGGGCATTGGGTAAAGGGCCGGAGCGCGCTCACATCAGCCATGATTCGGGACCTGGGCAGCGCTTCATGTCAGGTTCTTTCTACCCCTACATACGCACTGAACGAAGGGGATCAGAAGGCCTGTGCCTCCCTCCCTCCCTCCCTCCTTCTCTCCTTCCCTCCTTCCTTCCATTCTTTCAGTGGCTGTGCATTCCTATCCCACACTTTGTGTTTAATAAAAGTTATGTGATGGCCCCTAACTCCTTCAACTGCTAGACCTTCAAAGTACAACAGTGAGACCTAAGAAAAACCCCTGCAACAGACAGAAGGTCCAGGAGGGGGGAGGAAAAGACCATCTGCATTCGAATTTCTAGTTACACGAAGTAACAGTTCATTTTATCTCACGCATCCTATGCCCTGTTAATTAAGCACTTTACATACATGTTCTCATTTAGTTCCCACAGCCCCACTGGACAGGTGTTATCTCCATTTCGCAGATGAGGAAACTGAAGCTCGGAGAAGTGAAGACATTTGCCCAAGTGAATGGCAGGGCCAGATTTACCTCTGAGGTGCAGGCAAAAAGCATATTGAGTGGCAGAACCAGCTTTCAAACTCAGGTCTGGCTGCAGAGCCCAAGCTTCGAAAGACTGTCCCGGTGCCTTGTGCCTTACAAGGGCTCTTTCAGTCCCCGAGCTTAAAACACACGCTTGCATTTTAAAATGGTTACTTTTACCGGGGAGAGGTCTTGTTATTATGTATGCATCCTTTTAATAATGTCAGCACCCAAGTTTAGTAGTGTGGGATTTCTGAGACTGTTTATACAGTTGTTCAACCTGCCTTTACTTTCTCGCTTTTGTGTTTTTAGATGCATCATCCCATTCAGATGAAACCTGCAGATAGTGAAAAGTCAAACGGTAGGTGGTGACCGACTGTCTCGTGTAATGTCTGTTTCTTTAAGTTGAGAAGCCAGCTGGGGGAGGGAGGTGCCAGCCCCAGTGACTTTTTCTCTCGGAAAGGCAGAGAGAACTGCTCCAGCAAACGTGCACTGTGGTTGGCACGTCTGCAGAAATGTGAGCTTCACCCTCCCACCCCATGTGTCTCTGGTGTGGCCTGTGAAGAAGCTCCCAGAAATGGTTTTCCATGTTCCTCAGTGGGGGACTTGCTCTGTGTGGTGACCCAGTGGCCTTTGGCTCTTGTTTATCTGCTCCCATAGAGCAACACAGGACCCCCGATGGGAATGGATGACCTTACGCTGTGCAAAGATGAGCGGGAAAGCATCTCCCACTAAGAACCGGGCTCTCTCTTTCCTCCTTTCCATTTGCTCCTCGTTGGCTGGGAGGCTGTCTTACTGCACTCTTCTCTAAATTGTACCAACGCATTTGCATCCAAATTCATTGAGAATTCAGTCTGCTGATTAAATAAATGCACACTCAGTGCAAAAATATGCTTTTGATGAGGTCCGTGGAATAATTGAGATTTGACGCTCCAGCACACAAGAGGGTTGGTAGCCACGTTTCTTTCTGTTAAGTCGTTGCTTCCATTTATACCCACCTTCTGTCCCTGTTTTGTCCTTTGAATTTACTGAAACGGATGTGAAAGGACTCTTCTGCCTTCTTGTACCTCAGAGCTTCCCGTCCCACCAGACTGCCATAATCAGCATGCTTTCCTTCCACAGGCCGTTCTGCACCTCATTAATTAGTAATCAGGGCAGAAGCCATGCACTCAGAGATCTGCATATCTGTACATGTAAATGATGAGTGGGCTCTGAATCTCTCTACAAGGTATTTTTTGCTCATTGTAGTGCATCCTGCTTTCTGGCTTCTTCGCAGACTAGAAGTTTTGAAGAGAATCCCACGTGGTATTGTGGGCTGCTGGCACCTGATATGTGTGTCCAGGCGTCGAGTGCCATGCTTTGCCCCCTATCTTCTCATCAGCCACACCCTTTTCTGAGAGTTCATTCCGTTTCCTCCACGGATTTATCACAAAGGTGGCAGTTAGTGTAGGAGGGTCTAAAATCTGCCACTGCTTTGTTGGGGCATCTGGGTCAAGTCACTTCATTCCTTTATTCAACAGTTACTCATTGGTTACTTACTGTGTGCCAGGTATGTTGCTTGCAAGCTGAGGCTGCAGGGATGGATTTTAAAAAAAAAAAAAAAAAAGACTACAAAAGACACTACCCTGACCTCATGGAACTTACATTCAGTCTACTGATCTAATAGGATCTACTGGTCACTTAAAGACTGAACTTTTAATGCCCTCATTGATAAAATAATAATGGTGACTGCCTCACATAGGTTGCCTTCTTTTTTTTTTAAGACTTGTATGAATGTTTGTAACAGTGCTTTGTAAATGATAGAGGACTTCTATGCAATGTTGATTATTGCTACCATCCAGATTTTTCCCTGGCTTCATAGGGTGCTGCCCTGAGCATGTCCACCCAAGCCAAAGCCGTACACCCATGCCAAATCCTAGAACCCTCTTGCTCCAGAAGTTCACGGCTGCAGTCTGCTCTAGTCCTCATGGGAGAGAGGAATTTTGTATTTGTGGGATGAATTGTGTCACTGGAGATCATCTTAGAGCTTCTGGCCACCATAGGATGCCCCCATCCTTTGACTCCATAATTTTCTAAATTGTGTCAGGACAGAGACCACAGAATGAATGTCTATGGAAGAGGATTTGGTCTTATTCCTGAACCTCAGGTCATAGTTACAGATGTGACGAACTAGAGAACAGAGTTGGAAATGTTGGACCTGAAATACCCAAATAGTTGAACCACGAAAGGATTTCTTCTTTTGCATTTTCTACTTGCATTTCACGAATCCTAACTTAGAGACTCCCTTCCATAGGACAGCTGCTGGCTGCTCTCACAGTGGTCCGTTGCCCTGGCTGTCCCGTGTCTACTCTGGACACTGAGAGTGATGTTTGCATTGGGTCTACAACCACAGCCACAGAATAAAACTGGCATCAGCACACCCAGTTGTGCATGATCTCGAATGCCAGGCAGGACTGCGTACTGGTTTACTAAGATGAGAGAATACCTAAAAATGCCACTTTTCAGGGAGCCACATGGGGTGCCAGTTAAGAACTATTTTGAGGAGACTGGACTTGATCCCTGACCCTACACTTGTAAGGTGCATCTTTGGTCACATTCCATAGCTTGACCTGGCCTCCCTGTCTGAAAGCTGCTTTCAAAGTGTTCTCCCTAATGGAGGCTCCACTGGGACTTCACCTTGCGTAGACATAAACAGGGTTCAAGGTTCTCCTCGGGCCTGATTCCTCCATCAGGAGAAGTGTATAATTTTCGAAAGCAAATGATAAAAGCTGCAAGCCTCTCCTGATTTCACATGGCAGCTTTGACAGGTAAGCATAGTTTCCAAAGCTCAAAGAGCACAAAGATTTCTTTGGCTCAGATGCTCGAAATAGCTCCTATAGTTGTGAAAGAAGAATAACGAGCCCTAATTGCACTTTTATTGAGTTTGCTGACATTTATGGATAGCACAAAGGGCTCATCACAGTGAGACAGTTACTGCCTTCATTATCACTATGTTCAGATTTCTAAAACTTTGTATTTGCTGAGCAAGAAAGGGCTGCTCATCACAAATTAATTAGTGATGGACAAATGAATTCCACACACACAATCACTCTTTTCGGCCTTTGTCTAGCTAGAGATTCTGACACAGGGAACCTCTGTGGGGAGCTCAGAAATATTGGATGCTCCTCGATCTGCCCTCTGCGTCAGTATTTCACTGAGCAGGATCCAGAAATCTCCCTGGCTTCTCCTAGCCAGCCCTTTGAGTTGGCTCTGATTTAAGCTGCAGCCTCTAGCACATTTGTGCAAACTCACTCATGTTACTCCCGCCTTCGTGCTTCTACCGTGCCAGGTGTCCAAAAAGAAAAATTTTTTAAGCCCACTGTATTAACAGTAAAATGCTGGGGCCTTTAAGAAGAACACTGAATCAGTACCCAGATTTCAACGGAATCCAAGTTTTTTGTTATTCTTCCATTGTGCATAGTCGAGCAGTGGTGCAGGAAGGGCTTTGGAGGACTTGTGGATTTCAGCATACACTAGCACAAACCTACTGGGTTGTCGGAAAAGTCATAATGCGTTTTTGCAACGAAACACATAGAAAAAAATACATCATGATTTTTCCAACAACCCAATAGTTACTCTCCTTAATTCTCCATATCATTGGAGGGCCTGTTTTCCAGCTTTTAACTCTTCACCACTATGCAGGAAAAGGTACCAGCTGCGCAAGACTGAAAATGGAATGCAGTTGCTGGATCCGAAGCTTGTTTAGCCCTGAGTGATAAGAAAAGCACAGCAGTTGCCTTTGGTTCTGGGCTTGGGGTCTCAGCGACTGCAGTCAGTTCCGGCTGAGAGGACTGCTGTGGACTCTGTAGACAGAGCATAAATCCACCCTGTTTTAACCTTACAACCTCACACCTTGTCTGAGGTCCTTAAAGCCTCTAATCCAGAAACACTATTCATGCCCCATCTCTTTCCTCAAGGCCTCCGAAACCCCCCGTGTCCATGTGTCCAGTTCAGAACTTGCCGGAGTCAAGATAACTAAATATCTTCGGGAAGGGAGAAGACCTACAAGGCTGCAGCACATGTAGGAATCACACCCATCCAGTCACTTTCTGATGTAGTGAAAGACGAAGAAATAATCTGAAATTCAAAGTGGAGAGAAGAAATAATTCTTAAATTCAAAGTGGAGAGACGAGCGTATTTGGAGGCACTAATCAAATGCCATATGTTAGCACTAACACATTGAAAACCTGTTAATTAATTCAGGCCACCCCCAAACCCAGGTGTGACTGTGACTGGTCGCATACCAGGGTGTTAGCACAGGCTTACAAGCAGGGATCTTTTAAAAATGAGGTTTCTATTCCCCAAACTTAAAAAAGTCCGCACTTCTTATATTAACCCTTTTTTATTTAAACCATGGAAGGAGATCTTGAAATGGTCCCTGGTCTGGAGAGCCTTCCAGGCTTCTTGTTATCAATGACAGTAACCCCACCTGTGCAACACTTAATAAAATACTTATAAAAACATTTCCCCTCACTCGTTCATTGGTTATCCTAGAGAAAAATAGACTTTTTCCCACGAGGGCAGGAACCTTATCATTTTATTCTTTTTAAATTTCCCCTAAAGCACTTAGCATAATACCGTGAACGTGGTTGGTTTATTTAAGCAATCAGCATTCTTGTGGATTAAAAAAATAAGTGAGATACTCACTGCCCGTGAATATACTTAGGAAAAACCCACCAAGACATTCATCAAACACTGATGAGAAAGTTTAGTGGATTCAAGATAATTATAGTTATTTGAAATGTTGACAAAGCTGTTTAGGGATCCTTTGCATGGGAATCCCAGGAAGAAATTGTATGACTACGGTTTCACTGGAAAACTCAAGGGAGAGGAAACCTGGATATATTGGTTGTCCCCTTTTGCCATTAAAGCAAACGTGGCCCAGCTGTCAAAACCACAGAGCACCCTTGACTAGCAAGAGATTGCAAAAGGCCAGCCTCCTTTACACATCCTTTCATGCGCACACACACAGGAAATTAGCATTTGGAATAGCATATGGGTAGCATAGGTTTCAATTTTTTTTCTTAGCTAATACTCGTTATTGAAAAAAGAGTTATCAACTGTCTCCCTGCCTCTCTGAGTTTACCCTTCATGATGGCGAGAAAGTGAGAATGTCTGAAATAGTTTCCATTTTCTTAAGATTCATCTGAGGAAGAAAATCATCTTTTAGCTGACTTAGGAACTGCATGTTTTGTTCGGTGTCATATCCCTCTAACGCTCAAAACCTACAAATTGCTTTAGCTAAATACCATAATTATAAGCTTACCAGTGAAACCAAGGACCAACTGGGAATGTATCATTGGCTTTTGTCTAGAAGAACTAAAACTAGGTTCTTCAGGATCAGAAGAAACAGAATCGGAATTTATTTTGACTCTCATAAAGATATCAACCGTAGCTTCCTCGAGTGGGAGTCCCAGAGATGAGCAGGGAGGAGGAAGATGGGCACTGCAACCGGAAGTCATACCCACCCCGCTGCCCATAGCAGTCAGCTCTAGCCTCTCCCCTTCCGGTTCTAGAGAATGCCACACCCTCTCACGTGTGAAGGGGTCTGACGCCATCTGTCCTGCCACCACAGACACCTGTTGGAAAGGAAGCTCCTCTACTGGGGTACCTCATGTTTCCAGCACTTGGATCATTGTTGTGCCAGCACAGCCCTTGACTTCCTGTGCTTTCCCTGGCTCCTAGGAGATGGTCATTGGTAATTCACTTAAGTCTGAAGGGAGAAAAAAGAACCTACATTTAAATTTTTTTCATCTGCATACAGAACGTCAGGCCCTCGGTGGCCTCCCTCCAGGAACCAGCCAGTGACCCCGATTCCCCGTGTCTACTTGATGAGTTTCAACACAGGCAGAGGCCTTGGACCATCTGTTACCTTCCTGATACCTTGAGCCCCTCTCTACAGATGAAGCAAAAAAATGGTGCCTGTTGCGCTGCAGTCAGGCTGCAGTCCTCCATCTACCCCCAACACGGTCTTTAATTTGTGCTGCCTCTACATTTTGCCCAGTTAGTATGCGTCCCCCCTCCCACTACCCATCTATCCCACCCTGCCCGTGCTTCTGCAGGGCCAGCGTAAGCGCCACGTCTTCCAGCAAGCCTTTCTCAAACTGTAGCACAGTTCGTAGTTGTCAAGTACTGTGGAATTGTGGGTTCAAGCGGTACTCCTGGGAGCCCTGCGGTTTCTCTGCATTGTCTTCAGAGCTGCCACAAGTGTGGAGAGAGACTGGTGGAAGGGTTTCTGGGCGCCAGCACCCTCCACCCCCAGGTGCTCAATCCCAGCATGTGACTGGGCCACCTTCTCTCCAGCATTTAAGAAAGAAAGAAAGGAAAGAGAAAAGGGGAAAGAAGAGACTTTAATCCTTCATTGTAGGGATGACGAAAGTGAGGACCACAGAGGTCATTGTCCAAGGTCACACATCAGCTGAATGACTGCCAGAGCTAGGACCTAAGTCTCTTAGTCCCAGCATCACTCTCCCCTTTAAGCCTCACCTCCCTCCTCTGGGCTTGCAGGAAACACAGTAGTGGGAAAAGATCCCTGGGCTGGCGGTAGATCAGGGTTCAGGTGAGACCACCCACTTTCTGAAGACCCTAGGCAGGGCCCTTCCCCTGCCAGGCCTCAGGGTCCCTTTTAGAGTTAGACCAAACGTCTCAAGTTCCTTATTTCAGTCTGGAGGTCCGTGACGAGGAGCATTTAGCTGTCTCACCTAGGCCCCTCAGAACTACACTGTCTAATATAGCAGTCACATGTGGCTTTTTAAATTTAAACTGGTGAACATTAAATTACATTAGAAATTCAGTCTCAGCCACAGTAGCCACTTTTCAAGTGCTCAGGAGCCACGCGTGGCTTCAGCTACAGCAGTGGACGTGTCTAGAACTGTCCCTTTACTGCCATGTTCTGCTGGACAGTACCTCATGGGAGCAAGCGCCCTGTGCTCCATCACTGTCCCCTTCCTGCCATGTCACTGTGAGGTATTTACACATGGATCTTCTGTCCCAGCTCCCAGAGGGCGGAGGCCATGTGACAAGTCTAGAATGCATTCTTGTGGGTGAAATGAAAATGAGACACTTTCTGTCCAGGAAAAGAATAAGAAAAACAGAAATAAAAGCCAATTAAATAGCAATGACAAGATTATAATGCAGATACAAAAACAAACAAACAAAAAAAGGTCTCTTCATAATGCTGGATGGTAGAGCCCTTCCCCTAAGCCAGGATGGTCTGAGGAGCTGCTGCAAGCTGCTGTCCTTCTTTTAAATTCTAAGAAATGGATTGAAATGAAACATGCGAAACAAGCAAGTCTTCTCCCTGAGGGGTTCTATGACGGTCTCTTGCTCTCTCTTAAAAAAAAAATCTAACAGTGTCCTGAACTCGGCTGTAATTATGCCTTTAAAGTGAAATGTAGGCCAGTCATCCTGAGCGCAGCTGGCAGATTTTGAGGAAAGTCTCTCAGGTCATCTGAATAAAGCTTCCCTTCCCTTTACCTCTGTCAGGTTCCAAGGATAGAATTTGCACGTTGTTGTCCCAACACCCAAAGTGCATTTCTGTTCATCCAAAGTCCTGCCTCCAAGTGGGTGGAAGAGAATTGTTCCCTCTTTGTTCTTTTCTTGGTGTGGATTTCACCCCCAGCACGGGGCCATCCTGACATGATTCTCAAGTAGCCACAGCCCCATTCACTTCACTAAAGCCACCTTCCTCTTTCACTGGGACATGCAGACCACATGTGCTGCCCGGGTTAGGACTGCACAGCCCAAGCCAAGGACAAAAGATCATTTACTAGCTTTGCAGAGGAATGAGTGTCTCTCCTCCCCTACGCTTATCTGGATCGCTGGGGACGAAGCTTTCTGAAATTGGGGGAGTCGGATATTTTCTTCCATCCAGTGCTTTGTTAAAAGTTTTGTTTCCTATTCTACTACGTCTGTTCCTTTTGTTTTTCTCTCCTGACCTTTTTCTTTCCCTGTCACTCAAGTTAAAAGAACATCTACAAAAAAACAAAAAAAAATCCGTATCCAAAAATATCTCCATGGAACAGTAGTGTTTAGCAACTACATGGAACTTTAACGTTCTAGTAAACACATTGGGTGGGGGGAAGGACTTCACGATGTTTCGTGTCCTTATGAAGACATTTCATGAGTAAGAAAGAGCAAGCTTATAGGGAGATGCAGTGTTCAGACAGGGCCAGGTGGGGAAGCAGAGGTGCGGTGGCATGTGTGGGGGCCACTGCCAGTCTGAAGAGTCGGCTTGGGGATCCGAGTCAGCTTGGGGACTCACGTGCCTGGCACCCGGTTTGATGTCGTCATGAAGCATTGGTTTCAAGGAAAAAGATGCCAATGGCCTTTGTTCATGCATTATTTTTATCTCCTAGCTGTGGAAGACAGAAAATTGTTCATAGGAATGGTTTCGAAGAAATGTAACGAGAATGATATCAGGGTGATGTTTTCTCCATTTGGCCAGATAGAAGAATGCCGGATCCTCCGGGGACCCGATGGGCTGAGTCGAGGTGAGTGTGCCGTCACCGAAGCCTCTTTCCTTAAGAGCTAATTGGAACTCTGTGTCACAGTCAAGGTAGATGCAGCCACCGCACGCAACACAAGGTGACCCTGTAATGTGTCCCATGTGATAGAGTTACCCAGCCTGAACTTTTCACCGGAGCCAAAATGATCACCTTTTATGTCTCAAGGCGGGAAAGGTCTTGGTGCCAACATATTAGCTCAGGTTATCACTGTCAGCTGGCTGCCCTATTACACATCCCTTTTCAGTCTCCAGTTGAAGGGGGCTGAGAGGGAGGGAGAAATGTGGAGGAGAGAGAATATTTGTTGTTTTCATCTTAGTTTCTGGCTGTGCCTAAAGAGAAATGTGAAGGGTATCGGCCTCTTCACAATGATGTAAACCCAGAAAAAAGGTCCATGTTCCCAACTAGGGCGGAGCAGATACGGACTCAGAGTAACTGGGCCCATCTTGGGGTATCAGGGTTTTATTTCAAAGGGGAAAAGTCCTGGAGTCCTGAGCGCAGGGAGTCCATTTAGTGACAGAGTAATGACTTTCTCCCAGAATAAGACTGTAGGCTCCTCTTTGTCACCATGATAGAAGCAGAGGCTGTGGCTCCGAGCATGGATAAAAACCAGTATTTTTGCTCACGGCTGTACAAAGCAGTTGGAAATAACGGTTCTCTTTCCATGTTTGCCATCTCCTTTGACAATGCCACACACCCCCTTCCTTAAGCCACTCATAGGCTGTCACTGAGCATGAACACCCATCGGACTGCAGTTTCCCCATCAGGCCAGGGAGGCCGAACCGAGAGCGAGGATGTAAAACATAGTATTCCATTCTTCTAAGAAATCCGTCTTTTGGCAACACGAAGAGGATTTCATTCTACTAATGTAGTTATCAGTGCGAGTTCCATGGGGCTAATTAGAAATGTCCTTTCATTCGCAGCCTCTGGTTCTGGGACAGAGCTGCCATCCCAAACCAAGTGTGGAAAGAAGAGGTGCGGCCTTAAGTATTAAGGCGCTAATTTTCACCCATCCCCCTAGTTTTACATAAAGTCAGCACCACGTGAGGAAGAACACTTGTTCTTTTGACTTTTAGACAGAACGCTTCACGATGTCAGCTGCTAGAATCGCAGGCCCTGAGAACAAAAGCGTTCCGCCCACACCCACCTCCGGCTCCCCAAACGGAGGACGTCTAGAAGGAGGTGGCACAGCTCCAAGCTTGTGATCCCTGTATTGTCTTCTGAAAGTGATTTAAAAAAAAAAAGGGGGGGGAGGAGGCCCGGAGATCACAGTTTCTGCGTTCTCTTGACAGTCTGAAACCCTTGTTATGAAACCCTCACTGAAAAGATGTGGTTCTCTGAAAGCTGAACAGGACACGACATTGAGGGGGATCCCTAAACAGCAGACCCAGTGCCCCATGCTCATCTGTAGCCTGCCACCTGTGCCGTTACTGGTGTCACCCGAAGCCGTCCATCGTGCTGGTGACCTGCACAGCCTCTGGCTCCTGTAAGGCCTCAGTCACTAGGCTTTCCATCCTGGCCCGCTCTGTGCCACCCTGGCAGATGTATGTCATGAGAGCGTCCCAACACATGTGGTCATCCCTTTGGTTCTTCTGCTGTTATGATAGACATGTGCCCACTGAGGCAGGCAAACCAGGAGAGAACATGGGGGCACGGGGCACGCAGGGTGGCTAAACGAAAAATAAAATATGCAGGAAACACACAATAATATTTTTTTCAATCCCTTTTCTGCTGTCAGCTTTGTCATTAGAACCACCGTTCTCTCCGGGTGTTGTTCTCAGTCACTCTTCTGTGTTATCATTGCATTGTTTTTGTTTGCCAAAGCATCTGGCATGGAGAACAGAAAGGCAGGCTCCAAAATTACTCACAGTGAAATTCATAGCGGCTTGCAGGTCAGTCACCTCAAGGTCCCAGTCCCAGAATTTCTCCTGACAGGAAATGCAACCATCGTCAGTACATTTTCCTACCTGTCTCCCACAGTTTCCCCATTTGTTAATGGCAGCAGTCATCCGCCCTGCAACTCCCATAGGGCATCCTTAGTTAGGGATGTGGAAGGTTTTTTTCTACAAGCATACCATCCATATGGTTTAGGAGAGAGACCTTGACCGTGAGTTAGGCAGGCCTGGCTTCTGACCTCCCGGTCAGGGGATGGGCCGATTCATGCAACGACCCTCCCTCTCACTTTCTCCATCTGTCCAGTGGGGACAGTGATGAATGGCATTGGTGCCCCAGCGTCTAGAATTCCTTGAGCACACGTGAGTTATTTTTGCAGATAAGAGTTTTTAAAGCAGCCCAAACTTTCCTAGGCAGGAGCAGGACACAGGACTTGACAGGAGAGCTCGGCCAGTTTGATCGGCCACTTGGTTGATTAACCGGCGCTAGACACAGACGCAGCCTGTTTTGAAACAAGTTGTGGAGGACCCTCATCCATATTTTATGGGATGGTGGCTCAATGTAAAGAGTAGGACCTTCCTGCTGCCCTTTTTTCTTTTTTCTTTTTATTGAATTAAAAAGTAATTTCTGGTGAACTGATGAGTATTCCCTATGGTACAAAAGAAAATACTCATCTATACCCATTTGTTCTGAAATATAGACAGACAGTGGTAGGTTTTTCAATTAGCAAGACCCAGGGAAACCTCGGTACAGGGGACAGCTTCTGAATCAGTGTGTTTGTTAAAAGAACAATTCTCTTTCATGCTACTATTTTGCTTTCTTTAAAGAATTGCAGTTTCCAATCAAATATTAATAAGTGTCGCCTATTAGTGGCACTGCAGATAAAGGGCGCTCAGCACTGCTGGTCTCTGTGCCTGTTGCTGGCTCAGTTGTTTCAAACATAAATAGCTAAAACTTAAGTAAAATGAAAGCTCAGCTGCCCCGAAAAGTACCTTCTGATACTAAGCAAGGATAGAAACTAGCCAATCAAAAAGTTTTTAAATCAAACCATTTGGTTATGATGGGGGGGGGGGGGGGTGCCATTGAGTGGTTCACTTTTTTTTTTTTTTTCATTGCTTTTCCCAGTTCAGCCACAAGAATGGTGATGACCAAGGGAGCAGTTAGTGTCGCAGGCCTCCCCATTGGTGTCAAATGTAATTTCTCCTCTGCCACATAAGTGGTTTAGACTCCCCCCTGATCAGTAGTAAGCTGCGATTTCTCCAGACTTGTTGACTCACTTCCCTCCCAGAACCAGCCTAGTGGGCTGCCAGGACCTGTACCTTTGCACCTGTCAGGCCCTGCTATACTCTCAGTTAGAATCACTGTCTGTAAAAAAAAAAGAATTATGATTTACCTATTGGTGAGGAAGCCTATATTTTACAGTCCCACTGTTACTCATCAGCACCCAGGTCTGTGCCATGTTCCAGGACAGAACTACACACACACACTCAGAAAATTGTCACAACAACACAGATGGCACCTAAGCTTCTGCCAAACCCATTGAAGCCACTCAACCAACAGCAGGACTCTGCCTCATAGCACACAGTATGCCCACATCTGTACATGCGTTTTCCCCTTTGGAGGCAGTAACCCATTTGGCCATCTTTTCTAATTTGGAAAACCTGGTATGAGATGCTTTCAGGCACCTTTATGAGACCCAGCTCCATCTGCAATGGCAGGCCCACCTCCTGGACATGAGGAAGCGAGCCACGTACGAGGATCCCACACAGGGCAAGTCAGCTGAGATGTTTGCTCTCAGAATCAAAGCCTGAGGCCTCTGAGCCAGTGCATTCATGGGACAGCGTCACTTTGGCATCGATTTCCTACCATGTACATGTTCTCACGTAGCCATAAGCCCACAGTCTGAATGAACTATTTGGGTACAATCTGCAGGGTTTTCTGCACCATGGCAACTGAATATCCAACTCAAAGACAATGAAGGAATTTATTTCATTGTTCTGTCCCATAAACTGGAATCAAATCTTCACGGCCATGTAAGGTAACTTTCTGCTTGTTTAAGAATCTTCCAGCTGTGTTTATGGTATTCCAACATTCTCCTGCCAAAACCCTTGACAAATGAATTGGCAATATTTTCAGGGGTGTTGGCGAGCGCAGACTGGACTTGTTTGTTTTTTGTTTCATCTGATCAGCATGTTAGGGTAGGACTTTTGACTCTTAAAACACGTACACAGAGAGGGACTCAGTGTGATTGTGACATTTTAGACTAGCCCATGTACTACCTAAGCATTCAGATATGTAGAAACTTCTGTCGGATGCACTCTGGGTTCTTAACTGCATCTTGTCAGCTCGGTCCAAATACAGTCTTCCCATCTCATCTCAAGGATGAGATTTTGCTAACTGTTAAGTCCTTGCCTGCACTTAACCTCTGGAGCTCTAATATAAATGAATGATCTCTCCGTGCCAGTTTTAAATAAGCAGACCATTATTGGGGATGGTGTGTTAGCATGTGAAATTTTTTTTTGCTCCAATATTATACTGATAGCATATGTTTAATAACTCCTGCCACTGCTAAAAATTTGCAGTGAGGAAATTTGGCTGCATTACGATCTTTTTTCAGCTGCATGGGAATTTATAAATGAGTTTTCTATCGGTTGAAATCTCCTCCATGCTGCAAAAGTTATTTTAAATCATGCTTCCTTCAGTGGAAATACAGCAAGCTGTTGTGCCTCTTTCAGAGAAGTAGCAGAAAAGTAAGAGGCCCAGGCATGTACGTGCTTTTTAAAGTACCTATGTTTTTTATGTGTGTGTGCAGAGCAAGAAGTCATCTAGTTCTCTAAAAATTCTCATGCAGCCAAGAGAAAAGGGTAGAACACCTGAGTTAAGACATCCTTTCAATTGAAATGACAAGTGTAATAGATGGGTTCCAAAATCTTTCCTGTGACAGGGCTGCGTGCTTTCCTTAGATCCTGTCTGTAGGAGGAAATTACTTTGTGAAACCTTTCCCCAGTCAATCATTTATCTGTTTTAGCAGCAAGAAGGTAACCTTACCGAAATAAGAGGAATTCAACTCCTTTTCATTTCTATTAGCAATCTCTGACATTCTGAAAGTGGAGACAATAAATAATTGCAAGGTAAATGACAGGTTGGCCACATTTACAGATGGAAATTTTTTTCTTTTTTTTTTTTTGCTATTATATATTCAGAGGCTTTAAGACAGTAATAAACAGGCTATCTTACCTAACCCTACCCAGCCCCCCAAAAAATGTAGCTTTGTTGTTTTGGTACCTGTATCTTTTCTCTCCAGTCTACTTTCTCTTGCATTTTGGTCAGTAGCCAGAGAAATAACTGCTGAGACAGCATATCCAACGGTCTGGAAAAGTTAAGGTGTGGACCGTACAAGAGCAGAGCAGTTTTCCTGTCCAGACCAGTGAACCCCACTGCATATGTTAGTAGAAGAACGGGACACTAACAACCTAAGTTATTTCTGTCCAATGGAAAGGCTTCTTGTTGTCTTGTAGAAGGAGCTGGCAGCCAATCTCGGTGTAGGAGCTTATGTTACTGAAAAGCCAGATTTGAGGCCTAATCCTAAAGCCACCACAGTGTTTTCAGTGGTGCTGAAAAGAAAATTGAAATCTTGTCATAGGACTACCACTTCCTCCTGTTTTGGAGAAATTACAAAGGTTAACAAACTACCAATCCATGAAACATTGAGTTCTGAAGTTGCTTAACTTCACCCAGAGTAGCATAGAGAGTGAAATTTTTTAACATGTGCTCTCACTTTATGAATGGCAGTAATTTTTTCTCTTAAGTAATTGCACACAGCACACAGTTCAGAACTTGACAGAGCCCTTAAGGAGACAACTTCTCTCTTACCGCACCACTGCCAGTAGAATAAAAAGGTTAAGGAAGTCATCAGATTTGTCAGATCATTTTTTGGATGGGATAAGGATCATATAATTAGAAGCATCATTCAGGCTTTAATTACAGGTTTCATAGACGAAAGGGCAATGGGTCGAGTTTATAGAGATATAATTTTATTGTTCTGTTGCTAACACTTTTCTTTTGAGACCTGCTAATTACTATATCTCTCTCACAAAGTTATTTACAAAAGTTCTGCTTGTTCCAAAATTGTGGTAAATGCATAAACTGTGCCTGATTGATTTTCGTTGACATTTTATATGTTTTTTATGCATTCTTAATCTCCATTTGGAAACTGTCAGTTTGGCACATAGTCCTGGATAATAAGAGCAAATGAGCTGAATGAAACAATCTTCTTGACTGTTAAAAACAGAGTTAGTCCAGGCTTTGCATGGTTTCAAATATATCTCCATTAGACTATTTGCTTTTGCCTCCATTGTAGTCTCAAGATAAGAAATGGAAAAAGAAAAATCTCGGAGTGTTACTTCCTCTGTTAATAACGTCAGTGATAATGACAATGGTTTTGAAGAAAGATTGCTTTGAAACGGATGGTAAACTTGAGACTCTATCATTTAAGAGCCGAGTATCAGTATGGAAGCCAGCAGAGGTAGTGTCATCTGTCTCACACTCTATTACACACATCATCTAGGTGCCTTAGAGAAGGTTGCCAAATGGCTTTTATTGATGACAAAAGCCGCAGCCAGTATAGGCACAGGCAGCGTGTTTAAATACAGACTTCACCAGCTGCTCAAATGTCAGGGAACTATAGGAGACATCTCAGCATTCATAGAGAGTTCTACTTCAGGCTTCGGAAGGCCAGCTTAACTGGGAGCTGAATGGGAGAGGAATCTCCCATGCACTGAGAGCTTTTCTGTGTTAAACATTACAGCACAATGCAAAGAAAAAAAAATGCATTGACTTATTTTTATGACTGGATGTTGTTGTGCTTTGGGATTAATGATGGGCAGGCATTACCGTTTGATTAAAAGGTGCTAATACAGTATTGACTTGATAATCTCACCAGCTACACATGCAGAGCCAAAGAAGGAAATACTATAGTGTTTGGCCCCCAAACTGATTTACACGCACCAGACCATCCGCCGGTTGTTTGGATGCGGAACTCCTCTTTGGCTTCCCGGCAGCCACATACCCCACCTTGTCGATGCCAGAATGCCGCTGCCTTTGCGTTTACTCTGAGATGACAACAGGCCGCAGCCTCTCGGTGTTTAGATTCTGCTTCATTTGGAAACCTTCTAAGTAGTAATAATAGTAATGTTTTGAGGAAATTGAGTGGAACACTAAATTATTCTCTGATACCTAAGTTCAAACTGTGCAAGGCTAAAGAAGCTGAAAATCAATGCACTTTTAAAGTCATTAGAGATCATAAGTGAAATAGGTCTGCATTGCTTCAGCTATGCGTTTAGTGGGCTGTGGTTTTATTATAAAATCAGCCTGAATCTGCATTAATTTCACAGCCTTTTTCTCTAAGAAGCCCAAGGGTGCATGATGAATAAAATGTAAATTTCAAACGGCAGTGTTTTTATTCGTGAAAAGAGCGGTGAGCCATGCAGTTGGCATGGCGACTAGCATGATGACCAGCACTGCTACCAGGAGCAGAAACAGGCACTGTATACATTCCCGTGATCTTACAGAATGAGCAGAAAAGAGCCATGGGAAGTTCGGTGAGTCTCACCAGAGACATTCAGAGAAATGTACATGGTCTGGAGAATGTTCACTTTTAGGTCAAATCTCTGACATGTATCAGAAAGTCACAACTTCAGAAAGTCACGAAGTTGCTGTACAAATGAAAAATCGAATGCCCATTTTAAAATTTTGCTTTCTAGACACTGTTGGATCTTCTCAGAGTAATAGAGCATTTGTTTTTGTTCATAATAAGCGCTAACTAGTGTGTGCAGCATTTGGTATATTGGTTTGCATTTGAATGGCATCAATGTATATTTATCCATATATATTTTTAACCACCCAGAAGAGATTAGATATATTTATTTGCTGACATTTCGAGCTCTTGGAATTTATTGGCTCATTTGCCCTGGGTGTGCAGATTTTACTGTTTGCTACTTACAAGTTGATGCTAAAATTTGAAATCCAAAGCCCTAATGTGTGGATGCCCCAAGTAAAGATGATGAGCCAGGCAGAAAATGTAAAATAGCAACTTTTTATTTTAGAAAATGCAAACTAGATCTCGCCAATGCCAAACCCCTGGCTAAAACGAGCACCCAACTTCCTTCCCCTCGTCTCCATTTAAAAAAATATATACTAATCAATCAACAGATCTTTCTGCATTGGTCAGATTAGCAAGTCAGACTGTGCATTAAAACAGCAAAATAAGATAAAACCAAAGAGAGAAGTTGTTTATTTTTATGTACTACTGAGAACAGTGTCGTCCTGTGGCAGTTCTCGTAGACCGTGTTGGTTTAACAAGCGTCCAACCCTTTTGTCTTGTTGTTTTTTGTCTTTCCTGCTCCCTGTCCCCTTGTTTCCCACAGGCTGTGCGTTTGTCACATTTTCTACAAGGGCAATGGCACAGAATGCAATCAAAGGCATGCATCAGTCTCAGACCATGGAGGTACTGTATCGTCTGCCCTTTCTTTGTTTTCTCTGTGCAAATGATGGGGAATGGTGACGCAGCTCTCTCCTGTGTGGATTGTTCACATGGCAATCACAGATTCAAACTCTCTCCATCTCTCTTTTCCTTCATTCATAGTCATTCATTCTCTCCCTCTCCCTCTCTCTCCCTCCCTTTCTCCCCCACCCCCACCCCTTCTTTCTCTCTCTCTCTTTCTGAACTTCTCCCCTGATGACTTCAAGTACATTTAGGAAAACCTTCCCCCTAGTGTCCATTATTTTTTTGAGCCTTTTATTGCAGTGGCCCAAGGCCTGCAATGTAAAATCATGATGCAATTTAAGCCAAGTTATTATTCTATATCAAGAGTATCGCATCCGGCCCTCAGCCTAAGGTGGGCATGGTTGAGCTGTGAACAGCCCCACTCCAAATCACAGCTTGCCCTGTGCTAACAGAGTTCTTTTTATTTTTTATTTTTTATTTTCTTTTTCTTTTTTTTTTTTTTTAATGTGGGCTCAAGTTGTCTTTAGTCAAACAGAATTGTGTTTTTGCATCAAGAATGTTGGAGAAAGTTACTACTTCTCCCACTTGGTTTAAGCAGTGACCATGTTCATGGATGAGACTCCCCTGAAAAAGTAGATTTGTCTCCTAACTAAAAAAATGACCAATAACCAAGCAGCATAAAGGCTCAAATTTGGTCTCCTAATGAGAGATAGTTGCTTTTGGGGAAGATGAATACGCTGGCGTGGGTGTTCACCCACCAGTGCACACAAATGGCTCTTTCTTTTGTCTGTGATTTGGGTCATGGCCTTTCAGAATTTTGCACAAAAGCATTCCAAGAGTGATATGCTGTTACTTATTCTGTACTGTCTGATGGAACCATTTGGGAGTGCATGTGCTGCTGTATTATGTACACTGTATCTTTGTGTATGGGTGATCTTTTCCACAGGTGGCCTTGTGGTGTTATCTGAAGTTATGTTTTTCATCTTTTGGGGAAAAAATATTTTCAATTTTATGTAATAATGCAAAATTTTCTCTATCGAGTGAGCTTCTTTTTTTGCCTCCCATCTTTTGGGGGTTTTATTTTTTGTTTCTTTTGTTTGTTTTTTGCAATGCTGCATCTCCCAAAGCATGCTGGGAGCTAAGTGCTCATTATGCGTCATGTTTTGTGGGCAACTTTTTTACAGTGAGCTGAAAGGTGGGTGGAAAGGGGGGAAAGGAGTGTGCATGGCATTGTCATTAAGTGTTTACTGTACTTTTCTGAGTTTTGATATCAGCATTGCAAAGCCTATTGTCTTTTTCAAACTTCATTTTGACTTTGATATTTCTAACATATCTTATATAATCACTGTGTTTTCCTTTCAGTGCAATGCATTTTTAAGACACTCTCACCCCCCTACCTGAAGGCAAGCTCAGGTGAAAATCGGCCATGATAGGAGATAATTAGCAGGATTTGAAATACCTAACAACCCAGTCTTGCACAACATGCTGTGACACATGTGATACTTTTTGTCCCCTTTCTCTAAATGTAGGCTGCTCCATTATTGTGGATCAGTCTGATTTCCAGCTTCATTTCAGTTTGGAGATTAACATGAAAGCGCTGTTAGGATAAAGAAAGTCTTTAGCTGTGTTTATTATCTTCTATGTACGTGTTTCATTCTTAATTATTTTTATTTCCTGTGATCTAGTGATTTGCACCTAAATTAGTCTCACCTTAGATAATTATGTAGTCTAAGCTCTTTCAGCTCTGTTAGAAATGTTGTCACCCCAGTTCCTTCACTCAGAGCACCCCAAATAAAGCCACACAGAATGCTGGCATGGGGGTCTGGCTTCTCCTGTGTTAACACAGACGGAGAGCTCGAGGACAGAAAGCAGAACTGGTTATGAACCTGACCCACAGAAAAACAGGCTCTCCAAAGAAAAATAGGCTCTCCGAGTGGGAAGATTCTGCTACAGAGAATGGGGCATATTGGGTCTTAGAAATTCCCTGGTCCTTTGTTATTAATATCTCTATTATAAAAAATCACTTGTTTTAATCTGGACATCCATGGCTAAGCAACAGGGCCCTCAGACACTTAACTATCTTGTTTAATTCAAATACTATTGGCATTTAAATGGAAAATTGTGCATTATGCAGTTACATTTTAATTGTACAACTGATGCTTGTTTTTTTTTAACGAATTATATTATTTTCAGGACTCTGACTCACATCTTTAACCAAGATATCTAAGAGATTCGAATTCAAAATGATGTGAATGTGAAAGTTGAAAAGAACACATTCTTTAAAACAATTATTTTTTAATATTGTTCCTTCTGTTTTTCCACTATCCTCCAATCTGTCCCTATCCCATTTTTCCCTTTCATGGTTTAAGCAAGTTTTTTGTTTTTTGTGTGGTTTTTTTTAACTATAATCACTGGCCTGATTTTCTGCTTTTATATCATTTTTTGGTATTTAAGAAGAAAAAACAACAATAAATGTACTGTTAGGAGGAGATGCTGTAATTTGCTATGGAACAAATTCGATACAATAGTAGCAACCCTTTTCCATACAAAACCCTTTGTATAATTTTCATCTTCAGGATATTTTGCCCTCTTTAAAGTATGAAGTGCTAAAATATGGGGCAGATAAAAAAGTGAAGCATAGATCTTTTTTAATGACGGAAATACTACTTTTATGCAATTTACTGACCTTTAACATTCTGTGCTGTGACACTGGCTACCAGAGCTGAAGACTCATACGCCGGAAGTCCAACACTCAAAGAGTCACCTCATTTTCTCACAGTTTTTGGTTAATAGCAGACATGATAGTTTCACATCCTCATAGTTACATCCCTAATAACTACCCACAGGTGATAAGAAAAAAAAAATGCAAGTTTGTTTTCTAGGAGAAAGAGAAAGTGACGTAAAGGGAAGAGAAAGGAAAAGCTCATTTAAATAGGAATATAAAGTTTCTGAGAGGAGTCAGAGAGGTCTATTATGCTGAGTTTCAATAAAAGGGTTTTTTTTTAATCACTTGGGTAGAATGACTTCTTTTTACCTCAGCAAATTTTAGCAGCTTTAATTATGATGAAATGTGTAGGCAAGCTATACTAAGAAGGAGAAAAGAGTGGGGAGGGAGGCGAAAATGTCTCTGCTGCGTACTTAACCAAGTGCAAATGTTTAAAGGTGCTTTCCAGTGGAAGCCTTAGGCCCTTATTTTCCCTAATGATTTTATCTACATCACACATGAATTCATCCTATCATATAACCCTTGGCCATTTTCACTCACTACCCCTACTCCTTGCCTTTTAAAGGAAATGAAAACTGAAAGGAGCTCCTAGCACAGTAAGGAAAAGAAGCCAAGCATACTCCTCTTCTTGTCATATAAGATACATCTCCTATGGCTAATTTTTCTTTTTTTCAGTAGCTCTGGGGACTGTATATAGAGTAGATATGATACAGAAGGAAGAGACATCTTTCTGAAAACATGGGAGTATTTATTACATTGGTCAATGCCTGTGTTTTCTGAGTATCTCCTTCCTTCATCCACGTTTCTAAAACATATTCGCTTCTCCCGATTATATTCTGGATCAGTGTGATCCCCACAGTTCCACAGTTCAAACATGCATAACCTAAAATTGGAAAGAGTGGAAAAACAAATGAATGAGAGCCACTTCCATTGCAGCTTTTCCCCCTCCCATCCCCTGCTCACATGTGGGAACAGGCAGACCCACAGAACAGGCCTGTCTTTCAGACAAGCGAACCTGAAGTTTAATTAAAGAACCTTGATAAGGGCTCTTGTCTCTGAGGAGGTCCTGGGAAGGTTGAAGGAAGACACCTGAAGAAGGAAGGAGAGGCAGTTTAATAATCAGAGCAAGAAAGTAAATGGCTTCGCCGACCACCAGATCCCCAAAGAAACCAGTGACAGTGTCTGGAATGTTCTGTTGATGGTGCTATTCAGAGAAGAAGAAGGAATACCAAACCATTTTAAAGCCATTCCACACCATCCCATGTGCTCCCGGATAGTTCAGAGAGCTAGGCCCAGTGCTGGGTCTCACGCGAGGATCCGACCAGGCTGTAACTCCCTCACTTTCCGCTGTGTCTGACCACAGGGCTGCTCTTCACCTATCGTGGTGAAGTTCGCTGACACGCAGAAGGACAAAGAGCAAAGGCGTCTCCAACAGCAGCTCGCCCAGCAGATGCAACAGCTCAACACTGCCACCTGGGGGAACCTGACGGGTCTGGGCGGACTCACCCCACAGTACCTGGCGGTAAGTGCAGGAGGCCACGCAATGCGCGGGCCCCAGGAGAGAGGGGAACATACCCACTGTAACTCTCACTACATACGGGCGCGCCAAGGACACTAAAGAATTCATGTGGGGGACATCTTGAATCCCAGGAAATTATTGAAATCAGCATAGATGATGCAGAATATTTTTCCAAGATAAATCGATTAGCATAAGCATATGACTGATTTAATTCTTGCCTGATATAGGCTGAGCAAAGTCCCACCAGGCTAAGCCCATGTTTCAGAGACGTCATAAAACCCTGCCTTCAAAGGGGTGCAGTGTGCTTCATAAATGATTATGTCAGGACGCCGAGGCAGCTGTGGTTGGAGAGCTCGCTGCCTCGGAAGTTAGTCCATTCCACGTCAGGACCTCAAATGAAATCCCCGTGGAACTCTCAGTGACCCTGGAACTGTGTCAACAAGATCATATGTTTCTTACTTTATTGGGTTGTCAGAAAAGTCATGACGTATTTTTTCCATGCTTTTCATTGCAAAAATGCGTCATGACTTTTCCGACAACCCAATATTTGATACCAAAAAATTAGATCCTATTTCAGGCCAAACAGACTCAATTCTTTCAACCATCCCTCCCATTTCATTGTTTCTAAACTTTCACTTTCTTGGTTTTCCTTTGAGCCATCCATTTCACTCTGTCAATGTCTTTATTCAAATACAGTCACCAGCATTTAAGATAATTCCCCAAGCAAGACCCAAACAGCATAGACCCCTAGTGTGGATTCTCAAATCTCTTAATGTAGCTTGAGAGTGTGGCATTTGTAGTAACTATGTCACATGCAAGATGGAAAGCAGCTAATACTCCTCTAAGTTTCTATTGATCTTTAATTGAACTACTGCCAAACCCTGCCACTCTACCCCATTCTTCTGCTTTGGGACCCAAATGCTAAACTCCACGTTTATTAGTATAACTTCATATTGTGAGATTGGTCTCTTAGTCCAGCCTCTGTGTGTGTGTGTGTGTGTGTGTGTGTGTGTGTGTGTGTGTGTGTGCGTGTGCATGCAGGTGTGTGTTTATGTCCTGACATGTCATTTCACCTTTGACCGTCCCTCTCAGGATCATATCGTCCTTTAGCCTTACTTTGTAGCAGAACATATGCTGTTCTATAAAATAGTCCTCCTGTGGCCTTTACAGGTCAGACCACCCTGCTTACGGGGAGAAAGGGAGACTCCAATAGGTTATATCACCTGACCCAAGGTCATGCTGCTGGTAGTCACATGGAGTTCACCCCTCTGCATGTTCTCTCCATGTAGCCGTGCTCCTCAGAGGACAGACATGGCTCCTTCTCAGAGGACAGACACGTTTCTCCTCCCCGCCTCCAGTGCCTATTGGGTTCCAGCGTGTCACAGCTACTCAATACATGTTCGATTAACGGACGAGGAGCATGTGTCTCCTGTCTTCACCTGAGTCCTCATTGAAAGCCTTGACCAAGTTTGCTGTCATCTCGCCGTTTCTCCATCTGATCCGCTGAGACACCAGCAGCGATTTTGCCCGATGTCTTGCTAAAATCGATATATGCTCTGCCATGTCTTCTTGGTCTATCAGTCTAGAAATTTTATGAGAAAACAGATGAGTCTAAGTTAACAATAATTTGTTTTCTACGAACTTGTGCTCGTCAGTTGCGCACAGACCATCTATTTAATTGTGTTTACAAGATTTTTTATTAGAAATTGAAGCCAAGCTCACCTCTTCACAGTTTCTAAGGATCCAGCTTCCTGCCCCACCATTTTCAAAGACATGTGCCTGTCTGTGTGTCTCTGGTCCGCTGGCACATCTCCCATCCCCCTCGGCTTTCAAAAGTCTCTGGTACACATTTCTTTGGTCACATCTGCAAATGATTTCTGTACCCTGAAAACAATTAGTCTCATCCTGGTTTATAAAACACGTTTCTATACACTCTTATCTATGTGTTCTCGTGAGCACCCATCCTTTCTTTGCGTGTTTGTTCTCCTTTCAAACGAAAGCCCGTGTCTCTGAAAGGGCCCTCGGCCTTTAAGACATTCCCCACCTCTGTGTGAAGGGGCTGACCCCCGCTCACCACAGAACGGTGTTCGGTGGAAAAAACCCTCAGTACTAGTTTCATGACACCCCAGGTATGTCCACTTACCTTAGTAGGCTTTATTATTGACTCAAAATGTCTTCAAAGCTATTTTAACTTCGCTTAACTTTAATTTTTAAAAATATCTTATAGGAAGATTTTAACTTCGCTTAACTTTAATTTTTAAAAATATCTTATAGGAAGAGGGAGTAAGGGGTCACAACCACAAAAGAATGGGAAAACTAAGTAATCAAACCAAAATAAGGGATTTCTCTCTATCAAAATGGGTAATCCCTGGCCTCTCCTTCTACCTCCCTCTCTTCGTGTGTGTCTGTCTGTCTGTCTCTCTCTGTGTGTGTGTGTGTGTGTGTGTGTGTGTGTGTGTGATAACGAGGTAATCTACTCCAACAAGTCAAGAGGGATGAGTGATCATTAGATACACTTGACTGGTGACTGTGAGTGTTAATCCTCATAATATCATTGTCACTAAGTCTTTAGTTTAAACAGCCACTGACACCCCACTCTGCTTGGTTTTTTTAAGATGCCCATGTTTGAGTCATTCATATTCATCATGGAGTTTCCTTCTTATTGAACTGACTTACCCCGAGGAGTGACGGTGCTCTACAGTTATGTTTTGCAGAGCTCCAAATACATTCTGAAAGCTGTTTTTTAAACAGCGAATTCAACTTATTCCTCCAAAGCACATAACAATTTTTCAGTAATAAATATGGTGAATCTAAACTTTGTGGTATCCATGTACATTTGAGTAGAAGAGGTGGCTGGCTATATGCTTGCTCCTATAAACGAACTATGTATTGATCTACCTTACCAGAAAGAGATCAATAAATCTAGTCAAACAGTATAGCACCTAAGTGTTAACCTGTAATTCAACTCAACTGGGCAAACAGAAGGGCGTTCTAAGACAGCAGCCACATGCGTTTACCTTGTGGTACCCACTGATTGTATGCGGGGTGGGAGGATGTGTTTTTGAAAGCTCTGGGGAGAAATGCAGACACCTTTTCACAGATATGTTCATTTCTTTTTTACAAGATGCTGATAAATAGCATGTTTCTCTCGGCCAGTGAAGATGGTCTTAAAGTGAGTGACCATCGTCTTGGTCATGTAGCCATGGCTGTGACAGATACATTTATGTCTGGGTTATCATGATAATGTCTCTGTTGAGTCAAGAGTCACTGAGTCCATGCGCTTCTAATAAAGGATGGAGAAAAGTGAGCTGTGAGGAAGATGGAAGGGCGGAGGGATGGACCTTGATTGACAGAGCTGAGTTACAGTAACTATTGGGCTATCGGGAAAGTTGTGACGCATTTTTGCATTGAAAAACATAGAAAAATAATGTCATGACTTTCCTGACGACCCAAAAGATGACAGAGAGCTAGCACTAGGCAGCCATGTTGTTTCAATAGGTTTAACACCTGGTTGTTAAAGAGTAAATTGATTGTTTTAAGGCAGCAGCGTTATTGAGTTTCCTCAGTGTCTGGGTTCTTAGTAGAGATTAGACATTACTATGGATTTGCAGCCCCAACTCTGGGAACCTTCAGGCAATTAAGAGACAGCAGCAGCCAACTGTATACACACAAAGGAAACTGGATGTGTCCCCAGTTGCATCCGGAAGCTCCTTTGCCCGCCTCTCTGCCTTGTGCTGACAGCACTTTCCCTTTCATTTGCAGCTTCTGCAGCAGGCCACCTCCTCCAGCAACCTGGGTGCATTCAGTGGCATTCAGCAAATGGCTGGTAAGTCATGGACCCTGCCTTTCCTCATGACCGGCTGTTGTCTGAATTTGGGGCTGGCGGGTGGGGAGGCGGGGGTCAGAGGGCAAAGAAAAGCAGCAGGGGGAAATAAGAACAAAGCAATTACCAGTCCTACTCACTTTAGCATCCCTGCTGGAAAGTCGCTCTCCTACCTCTGGTATTTCCAACAGTGATAACATGAGGGGGCTGAGAATCCCTGCATAGCATACTTTTTTTTTTTCCACTTAAAAAAAAATGGGATTGGGTACTGGGGAATTTCCAACAAGATTCCTATATCCAGGGCAGCCAACATGATTAATATCCCTCTAAAATTTTAATAATAGGCAGTCAATAAAAATGTCCTGACCTCCATAATGAAAGCCAAGATTGCAGGCCTATCTTTGATACAGTTTCCAGTCCCTTGATAACCACAGACAATTAACAGGGTGCCTTTTTTACTTTGGTGCCCCAGTTGACAGAATTGGGCATCGGACGCATTGGACGCATTTGTGTGGAAGTGTAATCTTTGTTCTTCAGAAAATCAAAGTGTGGCTGGACTTGAAAGCCAGCTCGTGAAGGGTTTCTTTTTCTAATGAGCTGTGTCAGTAGTAACTGAGGTGCAGTGATTAGTGAAAGGTCACTCCTACTGTGTCACCTTCCAGGCTGATATCCTAATGTACCACGGGGCCAGGGAAGGCAGCCCGTGCAATAAATCAGAGCACAGGTGCCATTAACCTGCCGAGAGGAACAGTGAGGAAGCTCTTTCCTTATATGATTCCAAAAAGGTGGGGAAAGAGGGCAAAAAGAACAGGTTTTTGGCACATGGAAATCAGGCAGTTTGTTTTAATCAAGGGCACCCTGAGTCAGTGAAATGAAACCTGAGTGTGCAGAATAAAAACCAGGTTTCTTTATCTGTCACTATGAAAACTCCTTTTTACCCTCTGGGTCTCCCTTCACCCCCAAAATACATATGCTTGGTTTTGTTTTACTTTTTTGGTTTTTGTCTTGTTTCACTTTTAATGCGTCTGGAAAGACTTTTGATGAGCATACACAGGTTTCCCCTGATATGTGTTCTGTGACCGTCAGCCCAGTTCTGGGGCCTCATAGGCTAATGCTGATTTGTTGTCTGATGGGACATACTGGCCTACGGTAGAAATACTGCAGAATTATTCATTGGGCTTTAAATCTCCTGGCACCACCTGCTTGTTCTGTTGTAATTATAGCTTTTGGGTTATTAGAGGAAAAAAATATATATATATATATATATATATATATATATATATATATATATATATATATATATATATATATATAGAAGTTAAATCATTCATTCAGTATCTTTATGAATACAGTTTGGGAAGCTGGCCTTGGAGCTAAGAATCACACTGAATAGTTAATTTATGTTTAATTCTCTGCAGTGACATAAGTAAAATATTCAGGAACTTTTCTATCTTTTAAAAAGAGAAAACCTCCAGATTGCAAGCTCAAAAATAAATGCTAAGACTTGTCACATTTTCAGCCAATGCAGGATTTGTTTTTCTTCTGAGTATGGGCCCACCCTGATCCAAAATTAGGGTCTTTGCTTCAAGGAAGCCTCAGGCTCCCCCACTCCCACAGTGGAATTATGCAGAGAAGGTCACTGGGTCCTCAGGCTACTGCCAAGCGCATCTTCCTGGGTGGACAGAGTGCCCTGTCGTTTTTCATTAGGCCGTGTGCGCCTCTGCCTCACTAGCCACAGGTCAGGATGCTAGTATTCACATGCTGTGTGTGCTCATTTAAAATTGGAGGCTATGTGGGAATCACCTTAAAAGGTGCATGGAGCAGATGGCTGATTTAAAGTCATTCTATAAATGCGCTGGGCTTTCCAAATTACCCCTTCCTTGAATCTTCAGCACCTCGAGTCTGCACAAGCTGTGAAATCGAATGCTGAATGACCCTATCTATGTCTACCGTCACCTTGAACGTGGAGAGTGTTAAGGAATCAATGTCAAGGCTTTGTCAGCTGGGAGAAGAGTGCCCTTCATTCATACGCACCATCAAGCCTCCTCTCCCTCAGTGCTTGAAACATCATAGTGTGGGGTGTATTTTTTTTTCAGTGATGCCATTAAATGGCCTTCTGCACTTTCATCTTCTCCCAAAAGTAGGGTTTCACTTTTATCTTTGCCAGGCATCTCCCTGAGTGTTCTAAAGTGAACTGGTAAAGAGGCCACTTTCTAGAGGAAGGTTTCCCAACTTCGCAGATGTGGGAGGCCCCCCCATCCCGCCCTGCCCCCCTAAGCCCCTTACTGCCTAACCTTCCTCCCTCACCTCTCCGATACCCCTGAGTCTCAGTGCTCCGAGGCCATGGTCCAGGCCGATGAACCCAGCCCTCACTCCTCTCAGAGGTGCTCATGACTATGTTTGAGTGGACGAGTGAATAAACTTATAAGCCAGCAAACTCAAATTTATGTCTTGGATACGTTCCCAATGGCGCTTAAGTTAAATGCCTGCTTTTTGTTTGTTTGTTTGTTTTTTGTTTTTTAATTAAGAAATGTGGCATTCGCCTCCTATTTAAGCCAAAAAGAAACATTATGTAAACTAAGGACAAGTATGCTCGCGGATGAGCTGTCGAGGATTTCACAGCATTACACGTTATAGATCGAAGGGTGCATGACACACACAGTAGGAGGGGTTGGAGGAGCCCAGGGCTCACTGATCCCGAACTCCACTGGAGGTTAAAACGCCTTCAGGTGATTGAGATCGTGGCACAGCACGAGGGGACCCCCACACAATTCAAATGCGGTTTTGTGCCTGCAGTACCGTATAATAAACACCGCATATGAAATCCAAGGACTCTGGCGTGGAATGCCATCACCAAAGAGAGTGAAATATCATTTCATAAACCAATCATGTTTGGCTGTGAACCACTCTCAGAACATAATGGCCTGTCCTTCAGGAGATTGAGGCTTATCCGCAGTCTAAAACATCTCATTTGAATGAGTAAAAGCCTTGCTGTTTGAGGAGAAAATAAAATAAATCCCATCCCCTACCCCCCCCAAAAAAAGAGAAATTTTAGATGATAAGCTACTAAGTAGTTGCAGCAATAAAATTGAATGAGACATCACTGCACTTTGTTTTGAAAAAAACTTACCATGTCCTTTCAAACTAAAAGTAATTTTAAATGTGTTCCATGATTTTATGAAAGGGATGGAATTTAAAAGCAGAAAATAGATGGGGATCAAATCTTTATAAGCTGAATGCTTTTATGTATGCATTCTGTGCATCTTTGAAGTTGATTGATTTTCCCTCTTAAAGCTTCTAATAAAAACTTGTCCATTTTTCACTCAACTGTGGTATTTGTTACACAAGTTTCTGAAATCTCAGAAACTTGGATCTGAGTTTAGGCTCAGAATCTGGATTTTTCCCGAAGAGGAAGGAATAAGCAAAAATTTCTTTGTGGCAACTATCATCCTAAAAGAGCATCAAGTTAGAAAAATGACGGCATTATTTTACAATTTTGACAGAGCTTGAAATAAGCATGCCTTTTATCCTCACAGTATGCCAAGGACAAAGCCACCACTTTGTTACTGCACCACAATTGGAAAAAAAAAAAGCAAGTATAAAAAGGTTAAATAAGTTATGTGAGATCACAGCACCAGTGAGGGGCAATATCACGTCCCCACGTGACAAGGGCTGGGGTTTCGAGGAGGGGCGGAGACGGGTTAAGAAATCACAAGAGTCAAAAATAGTTCACAAGAGTCAAAAATCGTTTCTGCAGGCCAGGGGTCTCCTCTCTGCAGACGGAGAGAGCAAGCCCTGATCCTGGCGGGCCAATAACTTTTATTTACAACTGTCACAAAGAAGTTAATTTGAATATCTATACGCAGTTAATCGATTCGATTAGACTGGCAGCTGCTTCACCGAAACTCATTGTGATCAACCATGAGTTGTGCTTTCACACATACGTATGATCCCCGGGAAGGCCTCAGCATTCCAAGACACTTCCTTATGTCTCCAAAGGATCAGTGCTCAGGAGCATTCGAGTCAGCAGCTGCAAGGCGACAGGGCAACATACAGTCTAGGACACGGAATACCCAAATATCATGACTTTATGATATTTTTCAGGTTGGAGCAACTGAGGCTTAGAGAGAGAGGTTAATTAATAAACTTGCCCAAAGTCGCTAAGCTAGTAAGTGGCTGATTCAAATTTCACATCTACTTCAACCTGATCCAAAACCTGAGCTCTCTGTTGCCCCCCAGCTTATAAAGCAGCCCTCAGTGTCTCAGCAAATTCAGGTATTTTTGCATATGTCCAGGCTGTGGTGACTGGCCACAGTTTAGCTGGCCATAACCAGCAAGGCTGAGCTGTAGAGAGAAATAATGCAGAGAGCCCCAAAACTTCTCAAAAAGAAGCAATTCCTAGACAGTATCAGGAAAACTGCCTCCCTTTCGTGCTGGACAACATTTCAAATGCATTAAGAGTGGGTTGTTTTTCCCTAGGGTGAGAGATGATTATTAGGAAATTATAGAGATTATGAAGCAGTGGCCCAAACAGAGGAGAATTTCACTTTGCTTCTGCTATTCAGTAAAGTTGGTAGTAAGTCCCTTTCAGACTGTCTGGTCTGTGTTTTAAAAGCAACAGAAAATTTGTAGAGTGCAAATATTTGCTTCAAACCACAACAGGGCGAGGCTTTCATCAATTTGCGTTCCGTTCCCAGAGAAAACGTATCTTAGGATGTGTGTGATGAGTGGAGAAGAGGGCAGATGCTTACAAAGACGGCATTGGAGGGCTGAGAGCCTTGCTTTGGAGCCTCTTCCTGGGTGTGAGGTGTGCATCCTGGACCCACAGGATTTCCGTGCTTCCCAAGGCCCGTCTCCCACCCTTGCACCACACACGCTTCCTGCGAATGTGCTAATGGGCCTTCTGAGAGCTCCATAACCACCCATCTGTCACTTTCTAACAGACCTGATTGGCAAGCACTTGGAACAACTGACATCTGTTCTCGCTTATTGATATGCAGATT